GGGACTGAGGGGCAGCACTCCTCCGAGGACAAAGTTCAGAGGGGTTAGGAAAAAAGACGCGCAGACAGGAAACACGAGGCGCAGGTGGCAGTGGTGACGTGACATTGAGGAGGTTGCAATGAATGAGATGGAAAAGAACATACATGAACCACTGTCCAGTGTCCCCACCCATGGGATAGCGGCATGAGCTCCCTGCCCATGTGCTATCCCACGCCCGGCCCCTGGCAAACACTCAGCGGCTACTCACTTGAGGCTTGCATGATCCTCTGCCCAAGATGAGCCACCAGCCACTGCTGGCAGACCAGCCTGCTGTGTTCCCTACAGCGCACTGCCTCTTGGATCTGACTCCTGTTTCAGGACAGGGCTCCTCTCCCAGAGGCCCTGGACCAGCTCTCCAGTGGCAGGGGGTGGGGGGTAACCAGAGACTCTTGGCACCACCAAGTCCCATCCCAAGTCTCGGACCCGTTTCTTGTACCTGGATGTCTGGCTTTCCGACTGCCAGGTCTGCTCCCTGCCCTGAGCCCCCTGTAGGAGTGGCCCAGGCCTCTCACTGGCATGGCATCATGGCTGCTCTGGCCCCTGCTCCAACGGGTCTTTCGCGACCACCCTCTCTTCCCTGAGGAGAGACACCCCCCTTCTTAGTACTTCTTTATAGCACCAAGTTTTAGTTTCTTCAGCATACTTGTCACAATCACGTTTGGGGTTCGTTGGTGTGTTTCCTTGTCTATTTTCTGTTCCCCCTCGTCCCCGGATCAAACATAAGCTGCAGGAAGACCGGGGCATGGTCCTAGTCACTGCTCTGTGATCCAAGGACAGAAATCACCGTTGGGTGGGTGCTGCTGGTGGGTCCGTTGCAGCTTCCAGCAGGAGGAGAACGGCCCCATCGTGATCTCTTTCTGAGAGTGATCGTCAGGCCTGTCCCCATGGAGTCACTGGTGGGTTGAAACCGACCCCTTTCAGTTAGCAGCCAATGTATGCTCAGGACATACGTGTGACGATGAGCACGTGTGCCCCGTGTTCCTGTAGGGAGGACATGGCCGGAGGGCAGTGCGGGAACTAGGCTGAGCGAGGGAGAATCACATCCTGGCTGTCCAGTCCTGGTGCTTCTACCAACTCTATACAACCGAGAGATGCGCTGGGGACGGGCCACCGACCCACCTGTCCAGACTGGCGCATGGAAGAGAGGGGCGCAGCCGAAGGCCACCTACGTCATGGTTGATCAGAGCATGAAGGGGCGCCGGGGGAAGGAGCCCTGATGGACAGAGGGTTAGGCTTCTCCCGGTGGGGCCGGCAGTTTGAAGTGACCGGCAGCTCTGCGGAGGCAGGGGAGGCTTTCTGCTGTTCTCAAGAGTTACAGCCATGACAGCCCTGGGGGCAGGTCACCTCGGTCCTACAGAGGCACCCGGGGTTGGAATCGACTCGCTGGCAGGGAGTTTTGGGTTGAGGTGAGAGACAGACAAGAACAGTGTTTGGGACTGTTCTATAACTCTAAAATGATCCCCGAACGTTCAGGTTTGTTTATTATTATTATTTTTTTAAAAGACGCAGTCCTACTTTGTCCATTTCAGTTTCATTCCGATGAGTAGGCAGACCGTCACCGGCCCTCCTGAAGGCCTGGCCTTTGCTTGTGGAGGGGCCCCACCCCTTGAAATCCAACCCAGGGAAAGCCCACCCCGGCTCCCGCAGGGGAGCTCTTGAGGGCGGAGGGAGCAGCTTCAGGGTCTCTACGGGAACTCCGTCTAGACGTGGGCAATCTCCTCCTGCCCTCAGATGTATTTTCATCTCACCCACACCTAATTTCCAGGTGTGACTCACGTCTATTGTGTCTTTCAATTCATGGAACCGAGCGCAGGCAAAGAAACAGCTCTGTTTGGGCTCGTCTGCTTCACCCATTAATACAGCGTTTAATTAGATTACAAACAGCAATTACAACGACAAGCAAACTGTCAGAAACACGCTTGGGAACAGACACAAATGACGGTGGGGAGCGCACCACGCTGCCGGTGGGGGCCACGAGGAGGTGGGTGCATGGCTTAGGGGGCAGTGAGGGAAGGGAGGCTGGGCTTATAAGGGGCTCATCTTTGAATCTGGCCACACAGATGCCAGCCAGGCAGCAGCCCTTTACAGGACCACCAGAGGAATGGTCCCCTAATCCCCACCTGTGCCCTGCCCTCAGGATGGCTCTCACTGGTGCTCCTTTGGACCCTCCAGACCAGCAATTGCTACAACTGGGCTCCGGCAAAAAAGGGTCCCCAAACAGCTCACCCCTGGCCCCCTCCTTGATCTACCTTGGGGATCCTGGGACCACCGGGCTCACAGAATTCTCTGAAGGCTCATCTCCTCCAGGGCCCTGCTCACTGAAGGTATGTGGGTGTCGGTTCAATCACTGACCCCGGAGTCCCAGTTCTGTCCTTTCTGTGGTCACTTGGTGCCCCTGGCAGCACCCAGAAAGATGTCTTCATGGGTGAGTCCTACCAGAGCCTGCTGCCCTCTGTTTCTGTTCCTGGACCCTGCCACCACCCTCTCCAGATTCCACACAGGGCTCTTGTCCTTGACATCACTCTCCCCAATGGGACCTGGGCTCTCAGGGTCACTGCCCAGGGCAGGCTGGGGCCCTGGATGACACCAGGGGTATTTGTTGTTTAATGCTCTAGGCAGCTGAGGTGCCAACCTCACTCCCATCGCACGTGCCAGAGGTAGTAGAGACCCTGGGAAGGCCTGACAGTGAGACAGGAGAGGCAGGAGCCCTCAGTTCTCCCAACCTGCCAGACATCTGGCTGGTGCTTCCCAAGTTTCTGCTTCCCAAGTATTCTTGAAGGTTGTCCTATGCATGGCTTCACCCCTACTCCTCCTGTTCCCCATGCCCGCCCCAGCCCCTGCTGTTCCTGGGCCCAATGGGCAGTGAGGCTGGCTAGAATCCACTACCCTGAGCCCTTGGGAGGCAAGTGGAGATGGTGTGACTGGTGGACTGGATCTCGTAGGAGCTTTGGAACTTGGCCTGTCCAGGCCTCTCCACCCCTAGCCTGCTCAGCAGGATCTTCAAGGGCTGCTGGCTTTGGGGTGAAGGAGGGGAGAGAGAGAGAGAGTCAGATTTTGGGATGGTGCAGGGACTGGCCTGGGGCAAGGGGTGGCTGGCAGCCTATGGCCAGACTGAAGGTTGGGTTGGGTGTCCGGAGAGGGCCAGGCAGGTCTGAATCCCGTATGCCACACCTTGCCCTCATTGCCTAGCTAAGTGCAGGCCGTGTTTGTCCACAAATGGGCGCTGGAAAATGGGGGCAGGAGAGGCTTTGGAGAAGGTAAGGACACAGAGGGAATCTTACAAGGAGCTCCTGCTGTACATGGTGTGAGCGGGGGTGGGGGCACATGGATCTGAGCTCTCTCCAGCCCTGCTACCTGCTGGGTGTCCATGGGCAGGCACCTCAACCTCTTTGGGCTTCCCTTTCCCTGCCTGTTAAGGAAGGATCACATAATCCTGTCTCATGGGGGTGAGGGTGGGGTGGGGTGGTGAAGATGAACGAGGGGGCCCAGCATGCCCGGCACCCTGTAAGCCTGTATGAGTGATAACCTGCTCAGTGGAGTAAGTGGGAGGACCGAGACAGACCAGTGTGCTGAGGCTAGCTGCGCCTCCCAGGGCCGGGCAGAGGCTGACAGGGTGTGGGCAGGCTCCCTGAAGCTTCTGCGGTCGGTCGGGGCAGCACTGTTTGATGTTAAGAATCAGTTTGACAGGAGGAGTCTGGGGAAGGGATGGCTGAAAACCAGGGTTCAAGTGCAGAACCCTCACCCCACCCAGCTCCACACCTTCAGGCTAGTCCCACCATCACCGGGGGCATCTTCGGCCAGACACTTTGAGACCCCCGAGGCCTCTCTGCCGACCCTCCACCAGAGCGGCATCCCCAATCCTGTCTCTTGAGCCCCTAGTGCAGGAAAGAGCCCTGGCCTTTGGGCAGGAAATCCTGAGTTCTAGCACCGACTCTTCGACCACAGTCTTCCAAGCAGGTAAGGACTACAGAGTGAATGTTGCAAAGTGTTGTGCAGCTTGGGAAGCAACACACACACACACACACACACACCCCCAGAAGGCTCAACACACACACACACACACACACACAC